CCGGGGTAAAGTGTGGCAGGGGTGGGCGTGGCCAGCATGACGTCACTTGTGTTGCGGGGGGGGGGGCGCCTGTGGTTGCCTGAGTGCTCTGCCAGAGAAAATGGGCTCCTGATCTCCGTTTTTGGATGTGACGGCCTCCTGTAACCCTCTGCCAGAGAAAATGGAGCTCAGGGCAGCCACGCGCGACCCTTGCGAGCTCTGTCTTCACTGGCAGAGGCACCACGGGCCAGTCCTTCGCTATTTCCTGGCCGGCTCCACGGGCTGCACTCCTGTTCTAGAGACTCAACATCTTTTTAATAGCATGCTGACCAAACTGGATGCAGTATTCTAGGCGTGAGCTTTCTAAGGCTTTATAGAGTGGTATTAGTACCTCCCGTGATTTATTTATTGTATTTATTAGTTCGATTTATATGCCGCCCTTCTCCGGAGACTCAGGGCGGCTTACAATGCGTTAAGCAATAGCCTTCATACTTTTGTATCTGCTTAGGGCTTTCGGGCCCTCCTAAATGGCGTTCTTTTTTATACAAAGTCATCTTATTGCCCCCACAAACTGGGTCCTCATTTTACCTACCTCGAAAGGATGGAAGGCTGAGTCAACCTTGAGCCTGGTGAGATTTGAACTCGCAGTAACTGCAGGCAGCTGGTGTTACTTAACAGTACTTTAGTCTGCTGCACCACCAAGGCTCTTAATATCTTGATTCAATCCCGTTAATGCAATTTAGAATTGCACTGGCTTTTTTGGCTGCCGCTGCACACGGATGGCTCATATTTAATTGATTGTCCGCTAAGACTGCAAGATCCCTCTCACGGTTATTGCTATTAAGTCTGGTTTCACCCAGTCTATATGTGTACTTTTGGTTTTTCTTGCCTAAGTGTAAGACTTTTATTTTTCTCTACCTTGAATTTCAGTTCGAGAGATAGGGCTCAGTGTTTAGGTTAGTTCTTAAGTGTTAGATCACCCTTTCCAAGAAGCCACAGTTTGTGGCATAGTTATAGTGGCTTTCCAACCACCTTATGCTTTACAAGGAATGGCTAAATGAAACCAACTATCTCAACCAAGAAGGTCATTTAGTTATTTATTTATTTATAAAATTTATAAGCTGCACATCTTACTTCAAGGTAACTCTGGACGCCTTAGTCATTAAAAAAACCCCAAAAGCTGTATCAAATAAAAACGTAAGTAGTATGAAATCCAGAACGTGGCTTCTTGCAACCTAAGAACCAGGTTATTATTGCAAGAAGATTGTGTGTGTCCAAGTCCTTCCCTGCCAAGCGCAAAACGGATGGGAGGCATTGCCCCAAATCTCAGGGACCTCCAGCCTGGGTGGGTGTGAGATAAATACCAGCATGGGACGAGACTCAAGAGGAAGCTGGAAACACAAAAGGTGCCAAAAAGCAATTGAAGGGATTAGGGGGCCGGAGCAGCTCCCAAACAGGAAAGACTCCAGCCATTGAGATCTTAGATGACAGTGACAGATGACAAGAGGCCTGACCCAAAAATAAAAGCAAGTATGACCTAGATAAGAGAGAGGAAGAGCGGAGTGAGAAAGAGAGAGAGGGGAGAGAAAAGAAAGTGTGTGTGTGAGAAAGAGAAGAGAGAGAAAATGTGTGTGTGTGTGTGTGTGTGGGAGCGAGAGACACAGAAAATATGAGTAAGAGAAAACAAGGTATTGTGTGTGTGTGCGTGAGAGAAAATGTGTGTGTGAGAGAAAGAGCAAGAGAGAGTGTGTGTGTGAGAGAACAGGGAGAAAAAGATTGTGTGTGTGAGAAAGAAAGCAAGAGAGAGAGAGAGGCAGAGAGAGGGAGAGAGAGAGGAGGGAAAGAGAGAAAGGAAGAGAGAGGGAGAGAGAGAGAGAGGCAGAGAAAGTGAGAAAAGAGAAAGGAAGAGAGAGAAAGAGGCAGAGAAAGAGAGAAAGAGACGAAGAGAAAGAAGAGAGAAGGGAGAGAGAGAAAGAAGAGAGAAAGGAGAGAGAGAGAGAGGAGAGAGAGGAAGAGGAGAGAAAGAGGAAGAAGGAGAGAAAGGAAGAGAGAAGAGAGAAGAGAGAAAGAGAAGGAGAGAGAGGAGAGAAGAAAGAAGAGAGAGGAGAGAGAAAGAGAGAGAGAGGAGAAGAGAGAGAGGAAGAGAAGGAGAAGAGAAGGAGAGAGGAGGAGAGAGAGAGAGAAGAAAGAGAGAGAGAGGAGAGAGGGAGGAGAGAAGGAGAAAGAGAGAAGAGAGACAAGAAAGAGAGAGAGAGAAGAGCAGAGAGAGAGAAGGAGGAAGGAGAGAGAAAGGAAGGAGAGAGAGGAGAGAGAGAGAGAGGAAGAGAAGAGGAGAGGGAGAGAGAGGAGGGAGAGAGAAAGCTAAGGAGAAGAGAGAAAGAGAATAAACAAGAAGAGAAGAGAGAGAGGAAGAGGAGAGGAGGAAGAGGGAGAGAGAGAGAGAAAGAGGAGAGAGAGGGAAGAGAGGAGAGAGAGAGAGAAAGGAAGAAAGAGAGAGGAAGGAGAGAGAGAGAAAGCCAGAGAAAGAGAGAGAAAGAGAGAGAAGAGAAGAGAAAGAGAGAGAGAGAGAGAAGAAGAGAGAGAAGAGAGAGAAAGCAAGAGAGAAACAAGAAAGCAGAGAGAGAAGAGAGAGAGAAGAAAGATAAGAGAGAGAGAAGGAAGGGAGAGAAGGAAGAGAGAGAGAGAGAGAAAGAGAGAGAGAGAAGAAAACAAGAAAAGAGAGAGAGAGAAAGAGAGAGAGAGAAAGAGAAAGCAAGAGGAAAACAGAGAGAGAGAAAGAAAGAAAATAAGAAAGGAAGAGAAAGAAAGAAAGAGAGAGAGAGAGAGAGAAGAAGAGAGAGAGAGAGAGAAGCAGAGAAAGAGAGAGGAATAGAGGGAGAAAGAGAGAAAGGAAGAGAAAGAAGAGAGGAAAACAGAGAGAGAGAGGAAAGAGAACGAGAAAAAGAGAGAGAGACAAAAACAAAGAGACAGAGAGAGAGAGAGAAGAGAGAGAGAGGAGAGAAAGAGAGAGAAAGAGAGGAAAAAAGGGGAGAGGGAAAGAAAGGTACCTTTCTTTCATTTTACCTACCTTTCCAAGGTAGGTAAAATGAGGACCCAGATTGTGGGGGCAATAAGCTGACTTTGTAAAAAATATACAAAAGTATGAAAGCTATTGCTTAACGCATTGTAAGCTGCCCTGAGTCTCCGGAGAAGGGCGGCATATAAATCAAATTTAAAAAAAAAGAAAAAAAAAAAAGAAAAAAGAGAGAAAGGAAGAGAGAGAGAGAGAGAAAGAGAGAGAGAGAAAAACAGAGAGGGAGAGAGAGATAGAGAGAGAGAGGAAGGGAGAGTAAAACAGAGGGAGAGAGAGAGAGAGAGAGAAAGGAAGAGAGGAGAGAGAGACAAAAAGAGAGTGAGAGAGAGAGAGAGGAAGAGAGAGAGAGAAAGAGAGAGAAAAACAGAGAGGGGGGAGAGAGATAGAGAGAGAGAGAAAGGAAGAGAGAGAGAAAGGAAGAGAGAGAGAAAGAGACAAAAAGAGAGAGTGAGAGTGAGAGAGAGAGGAAGAGAGAGAGAGAGAAAGGAGAAGAGAGAGAGAGAGAGAAAGAGACAAAAAGAGAGTGAGTGAGAGAGAGAAAGAAAGAGACAGAGAAAAACAGAGAGGGGGAGAGAGATAGAGAGAGAGAGAAAGGAAGAGAGAGAAAGAGAGACAAAAAGAGAGAGAGAGAGTGAGAGAGAAAGGAGAGAGAGAGAGAGAGAGAAAGAGACAAAAGAGAGAGTGAGTGAGAGAGAGAAAGAGACAGAGAAAAACAGAGAGGGAGAGAGAGAGAGAGAGAGAAAGGAAAGAGAGAGAGAGAGAAAGAGAGACAAAAAGAGAGTGAGAGAGAGATAGAGAGAGAGAGGAAGGGAGAGTAAAACAGAGAGGGAGAGAGAGAGAGAGAGAAAGGAAGAGAGAGAGAGACAAAAAGAGAGGGTGAGAGTGAGAGAGAGAGAGAGAGAAAGGAAGAGAGAGAAGGAAGAGAGAGGGAGGGAGAGAGAAAGCCAGAGAAAGAGAGAAAAGGAGAAAGGAAGAGAGAGAGGAAAGCCAGAGAGAGAGAGAAAGAGAGAGAGAAAGAAAGAAAGAAGAAAACAGAGAGAGAGAGGGGGGGGAAAGAAAGAGAAGGGGAAAGGAAGAGAGACAAAAACAGACAGAGACAGATAGAGAGAGAGAAAGAGAGGGAGAGAGAGAAAGGAAGAGAGAGAGAGAGAGAGGAAAAAAGGAAAAGAAACGAGAGAAAGGAAGAGAGAGAAAGAGAGACAAAAACAGAGAGAGGGAGAGAGAGAAAGAAAGAGAAAGAAAAACAGAGACAGAGAGAGAAAGAGAGAAAGAGAGAAAGGAAGAGAGAGAGAGAGAGAAAGAGAGAAAGACAAAAAGAGACAGAGAGAAAGAGGGAGAGAGAAAGGAAGAGAGAAAGAGAGGGAGAGAGAGAGAGAAAGAAAGAGATAGAAAAACAGAGAGAGAGTGTGAGAAAGGGAAAGAAAGAAAACGAGAGAGAGAGAGAGAGAGAGAGAGACGGATTCATCCATCCAAACTCCACCGACTAAAAGAGCCGCCTTTTTTTTTGCCCACCGCGGGGACAAAAATCGGCACCGGCGGCGATTCCCTCAGGCCGGCTGACCCTCCCCTCCCCCACTCCCAACCGCCGGGCCGTGCAGAATCCCCCCTTCCCCCACCCCTCCCCCACCCCTCAGCCTCCGGGGGGGGAAAGCGAAGGGCGCGCGGGGGGGGGGCAGCCTCCCCTTGGTGGGGGTGGGGGAGGGGAGGGTTGAGGAGGCGGCGGCCTAGGATCCCGCAGCAGCAGCTTCCCCGGGGCGTCGTCGTCGTCGTCGTCTCTCGTCTCCTCACGCAGGGGAGGAGCCGGGAGAGGAGGCCGAGGAGGAGGCGGCGCCGGGTCGTCCGGAGCTTGCGCGCTGGGGCGGGCGGCGCTGCTGGCTGGCACCCGGTCCGAGAACAAGGGGACGGACGGGCGGGTGAGGAGGCCGGGCGGGCAGGCGGGCGGGCGGGCGTCGCGGCGGGGCCATGGCGGCGTCGGAGACGAAGATCATCTACCACCTGGACGACCAGGAGACGCCCTACCTGGTCAAGCTGCCGCTGCCGGCCGAGCGGGTCACGCTGGGCGACTTCAAGGCGCTGCTCAACCGGCCCAACTACAAGTTCTACTTCAAGTCCATGGACGATGATTTCGGGTGAGAGAGAGAGAGAGAGAGAGAGGCAGCCCGGGGGAGGGGATGATGGGCTTTGGAGTCCCTGGGGGACAGCCCCCCCTCCCCCCCTCTCCACCCCCTCCCTTGTCCTTTCCACCCCCCCCCTCCTCCTCCTCCCCAGCACTATCCTGAAACACCCCCCCCCCCCCCCTTTCTTTCCAACAATCTTTCTTTGGATTGCAACTCCCATCCTCCCCGGCCGGCCGAGCCGGCTTCGCTGGCGCCGGGGCGTCGTTGCTGGGCTTTCGGTTGCTGCGCCGCCGCCGCCGCCTTTGGCTTTAGAGAACAAAAAAAGAAAAAAAGCCAGCCCCGTGTAGCTTAACCCGCGCCTAACCCGGTCGTGGCTGGCCGGGTTGAACTCGGATGCCTGCCTTGCGCAGGATGAAGCCCATCGACGCGGGTCGGAGCTTGGGAGATGGAGGGTTTTTTTTTATTTTGGGGGGAGGGAGGCAACCCTACAGTAATCCCCCCCCCCCCCCCCCGGGGTGGCCTTTGGAGAGGGGGGTGGTTGCCCTCCCCCCCCCCCCCCCCCCAGGTTTGAGAGGTGTCCTAGGTGGTCTCTGAGCTTGGTTGTTTTCTGGCAGACTTTTCGTGATCCAACTAGGTAACCTCATCAGTGCTGGAAGAGAGGGGGGTTTGCAGGGAGGAGGGGGAGGCCTGTGGGATCCTTGGTATTCTCTGCTTGGTTCTTTTCTTGAAGACATCTCATGACCCAAACTAGGTAACATCATCAGGGCTGGAGGAGAATGGGGTTTGCAGGGAGGAGGGGGAGGGGGAAGAAGAGGGGTAGGAGGAAGGGGAGGCCTGTGGGATCCTTGGTATTCTCTGTGCTTGGTTCTTTTCTTGAAGACGTTTCATGATCCAACTTGGTAACATCATCAGTGCTGGAAGAGGGGGGGTTGCAGGGAGGAGGAAGAGGAAGGGGGCAGGAGGAAGGGGAGGCCTGTGGGATCCTTGGTATTTTCTGAGTTTGGTTTTCTTGCAGAGGTTTCGTGACCCAACTAGGTAACATCATCAGTGCTGCAAGAGAGTGGGGTTTGCGAGGAGGAAGAGGGGCAGGAGGAAGGGGAGGCCTGTGGGATCCTTGGTATTTTCTGAGCTTGGTTCTTTTCTTGAAGACCTCTCATGACCCAACTAGGTAACATCATCAGTGTTGGAAGAGAGGGGGATTTGCAGGGAGGAGGAGGAGGAAGAGGAAGAAAAGGGAGAGGAGGAAGGGGAGGCCTGTGGGATCCTTGGTACTTTCTGAGCTTGGTTCTTTTCTTGAAGACCTCTCATGACCCAAACTAGGTAACATCATCAGTGCTGGAAGAGAGCGGGGTTTGCAAGGAGGAGGAAGGGGAGCACTGTGGTGTCCTTGGTATTCTCTGAACTTTCTTCTCTTCTTGCAAACCTTTCATGATCCAGACTAGTAACTTGGGCCATGAAACATCTGCAAGGAAACAACAAAGACCAGAGAGCAGCAAAGACCCCCCCCACCTCATTCCAATCCCAAATTACAAATATTCTCTTTTATTTTCCCAATAAAATCTTCGGCCACCTGATGCTTCTCCAGAACCCCAATTTCTACCCTCTCCCCGATAGGAGAAATCAAAATTTTCCTCCTCCGAAGTATAGAGGAACAAAAGGGCCAGTTCCACCGCAGTTCAGCAACTCAATTTCATCCTGGATTTATCCGTCAATTTTGATGCCACCAATTTCTTTTTTTGAGGTGTGGTGTAAACCGCTTCACCCGTGGCGGATGTTACCCAATAGGTTGTACTTTAAGCTCTACCCGAGCAGCCTGGGTTCAAATAAGACGCGCAGTCCCAGAAATCCTAGCCCGCGTTTAACCCGAGGCACCGAGCTTTACATCATGACAGTCCCTGTTGCTGGACTGCTCATTATCCCCAATTAAGATGGCGGTTCCTGCAGCCTGTAATTGCCAGTTCCAAGGTCCCAGCTTTAATTGGGGTAGAGCCTCGAAAAATGTCCTGCCTGAACCTCAAGAGCAGCTCCATGTTGGCTTGTAGCTTCATCATTTATTTTATTTATTTTTTTAAATTTGATTTATATGCCACCCTTCTCCGGAGACTCAGGGTGGCTTACAATGTGCTAAGCAATAGCCTTCATCCTTTTGTATATTTATACAAAGTCAGCTTATTGCCCCCACAAACTGGGTCCTCAATTTACCTACCTTAGAAAGGATGGAAGGCTGAGTCGATCTTGAGCCTGGAGAGATTTGAACTTGCAGTAATTGCAAGCAGCAGATGTTAATAACAGGGTGCTTTAGACCACTGTACTACCAAGGCTCCTTATTTATTTATTTATGAAATTATTTATAAAAATAATTTATTAAAGAAACAACTTGTGGAAAGTTGAATGTTTCCCCCTGTTTCTCAATTGGACCGCTAACAGGTTAGCAACTGGATTTAAGAGGTGTGTCTCCCAACACCCATTACAGGTCGTCCTTTGTTTACAACCATTTTTTTTTTTTTAATTGAGTGTTCGAAGTTACAACGGTGTTGAGCAGAAGTGACGTCGAACTGGGCCTCACCACGATCATCGTATTATCCGGATAGGCACACGATCCAAATTCAAATGCTCGGCAACTGGCATGTATTTATGAGAGTTGCAGGGTTCTGGGATCACAGGATCACCGTTTGGGATCTTCCCAGCCGGCTTCCGACAACCAGAGTCAAAGGTTGAGGTCAGATTCACTTAATGACCAGATGGGGCGCTTAAGAACTGCAGCCATTTGCTTAACAGCTGTGGCAATAAAGCTTGCAAAACCGGGTTACGACTCACTGAATGCTTTGCTTAGCGATGGAAATTCTGATCCAATTGTGGTTGGAAGTGGAGGATTACCTGTATATGTAGTCCTTGAGTTACAACCTGTTCATTTAGCGACTGTTTGAAGTTAACCATGGCACTGAAAACAGTGACTGTTTTTCATACGTACAACCATTGTGGCAGCCCCATGGTTCCATGATCCAAATTCAGATGCTTGGCAACTGACTCATATTTATGACGGTTGCAGTGTCCCAAGGTCCCCTTTTGCGACCTCCTGACAAGCAGAGTCGACGGGGAACCAGAGTCACTTAACAACGGTGTTATACTAACTTAACAACTGCAGTGATTCACTTAACAACTGTGGCAAGAAAGGTCGGGAAAAAAAATGGGGCAAAGCTCACTTAACAACCGTCTTGCTCAGCCGCAGAAATTTTCGGTTCTGGTCGTAAATCAAGGACTACCTGTATTGCATTGCAGGGTTGGAGATTTTGCTGCTCCCCAGCCCAAATTCTACTGAGACTTGCACTCAATTTTAATTCTCCGGGACACTCAATGCTTTTTAGAATCTTACTCATCCCATCCTGAAGTTTTTTACAAAGTCCACAGTTCACATTTTGGGGCTTGGGAGGAGATCTGCTTCGGATCAAGCGGTTTGGCCAATTGCATGGGTTAATGGAGAAAAGATGCTCGTTTAAGATGGTGAAACCCTCAGGGCAGCAGAGGGAATTGTAGTAGCCAGACGCAGTTATTACTCCTGAACTTAGCTGCTGGCAAAGAGGGAATCTTGCTTTGTTTTCCTGTCCTATGGAAACTATAGAGCGCTTCGATCCCAGGCTCTCCGAGCTTACAGTTTTTGCACAGTTTGTCTAGTGGACGGATCTTCCGAACAACAGTGTGCGGTTTCCCCCCCCCAAACAAATAATCCAAAATAATGAATGCTGATTGTTTTTGGCTTCTGTCCTGGCGATCCCGTTGGATGCCTGTGCAGAATTCAAGAGGAGTTTGAACGCCAACTTTGTAATCTTCCAGAAAGATGGTGGAAGGATGAGCCTTTGATCAGTCCTAAGTCTGGACAGGATCCTGCCATAGACTCAAATTTCTCGTCTCCTCCTCCTCCTCCTCCTCTCACTGTTGTAACTGCTTGGCTGGAAAATACTTTTGGTGGAACTAAATATCTTCTGAACAAATGGTTTCCTAAAATAGCCCTTTTGTCCTTGCTAGTTCAGAGTTCAGCTGGTGGGGTAGGGCCAGCTTAGGAAGTGTCGGTGCCTGGGGCAAGCAAGGAGGCCCCCTTTCTCTCCCCAAATCCCTGCCTTGTGGTTGTTTAGCTCCAGCTTGTTGGAGATGAAGTACGGATAGGCCTCCGTTCATTTACTGACCGTTCAAAGTTAACAACGGCCCTGAAAAAAGTGACTTATCACCATTTCTTCATGCTTAACGACGGTTGCAGCAGCATTCCCCACGGCCATGTGATCAAACTTCACACACTTGGCTCACATTTATGACGGTCGCCAGTGTCTCACATGATCCCCTTTTGTGACCTTCTGAGCAGCAAAGTCATTGGGGGGAGCCAGTACTCGCTTAACGACCGTGTTACTAACTTAACAACTACAGTGATTCACTTAACAACAGGGGCAAGACAGGCTGTAAAATGGGGCAGGATTCACTTAATCACGTCTCACGTAGCAACTGAATTTTTGGGCTCAGTTGTGATCCTAAGGCAAGGATTACCTGCGGTGGTGGGTTTCACTTACCTTTGCTATCTGTTTGCATGCTCAGAGTTTATTTGATGACATTCGGGCAGGTGGGTGGAGCCTCCTGCCGCTGCCGGTTCGGGCGAACCGATGTGAACTGGTAGCAACCCACCACTGGCTACCTGTTAGAACTGTTCTGAATAATGTTGTTTTCTTTTCAACCATTTGAAGGCTGAACTTATTTGCTCATAAGAAGGTGAGGCACGGAGTTCCTGAGGAGTAAAAGCTACTTTAGGTAGTATGCCTAGGGCTCCCTCCAATTTTTCCTACAATAACCCTAGGAGGTAGATTCTGTGGCTACAGGTGGACTAGAACTGGAATCTCCTTGGTGCTGGTTCAGTACCATTGTGGCTCTTGCGTTGTATATTAGTGCAGCAACAAAAAAAAATTGGAAGATGTAAAAGGAATGATTTTAAAAACGCTAGTCGTCGTTCAGTCACTAAGTTGTGTCTTTGT